TGAAAGAAACAAGGGTACAAATAGGAAACCCTAGTTGGGGTTGTACCCCATATTGGCTACCCCACTATAGCCTACAATCATATAGCACATTTTTGCTTTGACACACCCCCATAGGCAAAGTGGGGGAGAGCAAGGGGTCAAAAGACCAGTCAATCAAAGCAAAAAACAAGCTCAGGGTGGATCACAATGTCACCACACTCTCTGAGCACAAGCAAAGGCCACAAGGCCAGTTCACATGCAGATTTATATAGAAGAACACAAGTACTACAGTGATCAAAGCCTAGCAAGTACAAGCATGCAAGGACATATATATAGATCATAGTACAAACAAAGTCAAGAAGTAAGCAAGTGAGAGAACCTGGACACAAGGCCTATCGCAGTGCAGTGCCGCTGATGATCACTAGGCGGAAGCGCCTTGGTGAATATATCAGCAGTGTTTGCCTTCGAGTCCACGTACGCAAGGCGAAGCTGGCCACGCTGCTGCAGCTCTCGAGCCAGAAAGTAACGGAGAGCAATGTGCTTCGTTCTGTGCTCCAGTCTGTGCTCCTGACACAAGGCAAGGGCTGCCTTGTTGTCGCCGTACAGAACTGGAGGAGAACGAGGCCGCTCACCCAGGTCAGTCAGCAGGTAGGTGAGCCAGCGTAACTCCTGTGCAGCCATGGCTGTGGCGTAGATCTCAGCCTCACAACTGGAGCTGAGAACAGAAGAAGAGCGAGTGGAACGCCAAGAGACAGAACCAGAGCCAAGGCTGAAAGTGTAACCCTGTGACGACCGCTGCGTAGCCAGGTCGTCAACCCAAGATGCGTCTGAGTGTCCAGTGAGGACAACCGAGCCCTGCCCTCCAAGCACCAGCCCCATGCCTGATGTACTGCACAAGTAGCGCAGCACCCTCTTAGCAGCCTCCCAGTGCTCTCGCCTGTGTCTCCCAGGCGCGACGTAGCGAGCTAGGATGCTAAGAGGGTACGCAAGGTCAGGTCGAGTGCAGGTCATCAGGTACATGAGGCAGCCCACAAGCTCTGGGTACGGGCCACTCGGCTCTACGGACTCGTCCGAAGGTGGAGGTGAGAGCGAGTGGCTGGTAGACAGAGGAGTGGACTGAGGTGAGGAGAACTGGAAGCCGAAGCGCTGAAGGACCTGCTGCACCATGTGTGACTGAGTCAGGGTGATGGTGCGGCGTGCTCTGTCCCGGGTGATCTGCAAGCCAAGGTAACTGCTCAGCTCACCCAAGTCTGCGCACGTGTGTCTCTTCTGCAGCTCCGAATTCACAAGAGCAAGTGCCTCAGTGTCAGCAGTAGCAAAGACCAAGTCGTCGACGTACACGAGGATGTAGAACGGCGGCAGCGAAGTGTCTGTGCGCAGGAACAGTGAAGGGTCTGCAGTGGAGGGAGCAAACCCAAGAGCCGCAAGTGTCGTCCTCAGTGTGTCGTGCCACTCACGTGGCGCCTGGCGGAGACCGTAAACTGGCCGTCGGAGGCTCCACTGGGTGCCAGGAGGGAAAGACCCAGTGAAGCCAGGAGGATGGCGCAGCCAGATCTCCTCGTGCAGGCTGCCCTGCAAGAAAGCCGTGCTGAAGTCAAGAGAGTGAAGCTCGTAGTCACGCTGAGCAGCAACGTGCAGCAGCACCCGAAGAGTGGTCATCTTCGGGGTAGGGGAGAAGGTCTGGAAGAGTCGACTCCCTCTCGCTGACTGAAGCCTCGAGCAACGTAACGAGCCTTGAAGACAGGCGGAGAACCCGGCGGCCGCTTCACCCTGAAAATCCACATGCCATCGACGATGTTCGCCCCAGGAGGGGGAACCTCGTCGACGTAGGTGCCTGTGGACTTCCACGATGCCATCTCTGCGTCCATGGCTATCTGCCACTGAGAGGAGTAGGGACCCGAGACCGCCTCTGTGTAAGAGCGGGGGGTAGGGATGTCAAGTGCATCCGGGTCTACCTCAGGGGCAAGCAGCCAGGCCGTGAGATGAGGTACAGCAGCCGCAAGACATTCAAGGTCCTCCTGTCTGTCCTCAAGGACGTCCGTGCCAAGAGCACACTCACCCCCGACGGACGGAGGACAGACAGACGCAGACTCAGCAACAAGACTAGCAGCGTAGTCTAGACGACAGGCAGCAGCAAAGGCAACCAGCTCAGCGACCAAGGCAGACGCAGCAGCAGACTCAAAGGACGGGTCAGTGACAACAGTGGTTAACAGACGCGTGACAGTAGGGTGCTTAGCACAAAACCGGTCAGACTCAGGGTCGGGAACGTCAGGCAGAGAGGAGGTAGGGGGAGAGGGCAGAGGAAAACGCTGCTGAGTGGGAGAAGGACGCCGGACAACCAGGGGCGTGCTGCGAACATGCGGCTGTCGCAGACTAGAGACACGACGACCGGAACGAGCAGGACGGACAGGCGAGACAGGACGCGACGTAGGCTCACGACGCTCAGCAAGACCCCCTGGCTGCTCAGGGTAAGGAGAAGGAGCAGGCAGGGGTGAGCCAGGCAGTAAGGGAAGACCAGTAGACGACGGGAGACTAAGAACCTGGCGAAGTGCCGAGTCAGACGGCGGCTGAGAAGACGGAGACGGCGGAGCAAAGAACAGACGCCGCGGCGCCGCGTCACCAGGAGCAGTAGGACCAGTACCTCCAGCAGCTCCAGGACTCCCAGCAGCTCCAGAACCTCCAGGACCAACTCCATTAGTAGTAGCACCCCCAGAACCGGCACCCCCAGTCCCAGGGTCCGCAGCAGCAGACCTCTCACGCAAAGCTCCTCCAGCCCCGGCAGCTCCAGTACCTCCAGTACGAGCACCTCCAGGACCAAGGGAAGGAACTCCAACACCTTCGGAAGCGGAGCCTCGAGCTCCAGCAGCGCGACCGTGACGGCGCCCGAACCAGTCGTGCAGCTGCTGAGAGGTGAGAGGTACACGCGGACGGAGGCGGTCGCTCCACGGGGACCGCGTCCCAGCAGGTGCAGGACCGGCACCAGCGCCTTCCGCAGCAACACCCCCAGAACCGGCTCCACCAGCACAAGGGGCCCCAGCAGGCCCAGAACCCTCGGCTCCAGCACCTCCAGAACGAGCGGGGACAGCACCAGCAGCACCACCAGCCCCGGCAGCTCCAGTACCCCCAGGACAAGCACCACCAGAACCAGTAGCACCAACTCCTCCAGTACCTCCAGCTCCAGCAGTACCCCGCGGAAGGCGAAAGCGCTGGACGTACCACTCACGAAGCTGTCGCTGGGTGAGAGGCTCCCGGAGAGACGACACAGGACCACCAGCTCAACTCCAGGCTCCGCAGGCTCAGTGTCAGCACCCCCAGTCTCCGCACCCGCAGGCTCAGCACCCCCAGGCTCAGCACCCCCAGTCTCCGCACCCGCAGGCTCAGCACCCCCAGTCTCAGCACCCCCAGGCTCAGCACCCCCAGCACTACCACCCGCAGCAGCTCCTGAGTCACCTGTGACCTCGACAGGCTCAGCGACGGGAGGAGGGTCTACCTGAGAGACACCCGAAGGAGCAGGACCCTGAGGGGGAAGGGGGTCTAGCGGAGGGGGACATGGAGCGAGGAAAAGCGGCGGGGGAGGGAGGGGAGCAGTGCGGTAGGGGAAGAGACGGTAAAAAGGAACCGACTCGTCAAAGGCGACGTCCTGAGAGGCTAAGATCCGGCGCGAGGTGGGGTGGTAAAACTGCCAGCCAGGCGCGTCAGGAACAAAGCCAAGGAAGACGCAGGGAAGTGTGCGGGAGGAGAGCTTGTCCGCGGACATATCGCGGAAAGGGCACGAGCACCCCAGACTCGGAAACGCGATGCATCGCCAACCTCCCCCGTCCAACGCAGTGTGGGCGAGGTCTCCGGCAAGGAGACACGGGGCCAGAGGTTGAGCTGATGCGCAGCGTACCGGACAGCAAACGGCCACAGAAAATGGGGAGCCGCCGCATGGACCAAGGAGGTACGAGCGACCTCCATGACCAAGCCAATGCGGCGCTCAGCAACCCCATTCTGCTGCGGGGAGCCCGGAAGCGTGAAGGACTGCTCAATGCCCTCCGCCTGACAGAAGGCCCTCAAGAGGTCGGAGGAAAACTCACCACCTCTGTCAGAGTGCAGACGCAGGACAGGAAGATCCGTCCGGAACCGGCGGCGGAGCTGGAGACGAACTGTGCGGATCCAGGGGATCAGGACAGCAGGGACCTCACCCTTGGTGCGCAAGGGGAAGACCGAGGTGTACCGCGAGTAGTCGTCGACAACCAGCAGAAAGTACCGCTCACCGCCCTGGCCACGGACGCGGGCTGGGCCCCACACGTCCAGGTGGAGGGTCTGCAGAGGAGCCTCTGTCGGGGGAAACGAGGAGGAGTGAGGAGCGGCGCGCTGCCGCCCCTCGACGCAAGGAAGGCAAGGCGGTGCATGTGAGGCAGGGAGGGGGGGGGAGAGACCTGGGAAGACCAGACACAAGGTGGCGACGGTGCATGCCACGGAGGCGTGGCAAGGAGGGGTGACCCAGGCGGTGATGCCAGAGAAGAGTCCGGTGCGACAGGGAGCGACACTCACAGGGGGAGGCTACCAGACCCGACGCAGACACCTGACCGACAGCAGCTACCTGAGGAGACACAGTCGTCAGTGTGTAAAGACTCGACCCTGGCTGACGAGTGAACGTAGCCAGGTGACGGCTAGTCTTGGAGCACGTACAGATCGCCACACGCTGTCCTCCAGGGGTAAAGGTGTCAACCCAATGGTCCTGGAGGACAGCGTTGCTCACCAAGTTCGTAGAGAACGAGGGGAGGTGGAAACCCGACAGTGAGCCAGACGGAACCGCCAGACACGGGAGCACAGTGGAGGACCGTGCAAGAACTGGGCCCCCTGAGGGGTCAGCCAGGGAGACTGGAACTGGTGCAGGTAGCGGTGTGAGCTCAGTACTGTCACGAAAAAAGCAGCGGGAAGCACCCGAGTCAAGCGTAAAGGTGTGCAAGGCCTCAGTAGGTGCAGTACCTGAGAGAGCAGACTCGGTAGGCGCAGTACCTGAGAGAGCAGACTCACTAGGATCTAAGGCAGCTGACGGAATACCTGGGTCAGGTGGCACACACAAGTAACAGTCGCCCTCAGCACTAACAGTCAATGCATACATGGCAGCATTAATAGCATCAAAGTCAAGAGCAAAGATATCAACACCAGCCCTCATCAGATCAGCCCAGCGGGGGCGCTCATCATCCTCGCCCATCTCCTCACGCCAAGCGTCGTCAAGACAAGAGAAGCAGCGGTACTGGGTGTGGAACCTCCCACACGTCTGTCCTTTGCGGTCACCTGTGCGAATGACGTACGGACAGCGAACCCCGCCCCCAGACGTGCCACGCTGTGCAAGCCACTCACGAAGCTGCTGGGTCGTCTGAGGACGCTGCTGCTGCAGAGAGCTCTGGCCAGTGCCAGTGCCGCCACCCCGACCACCACCGCCACCGCCACTGCCGCCTCGGCCACCACCGCCGCCACCGCCACCACCGCCACCGCCTCCACCGCCGCCACCACTCCCACCAGCACTCCCACCCGCACTCTCGCCACCGCCCCCGCCGCCACCGCCGCCTCCTCCACCGCCTCCACCACCTCCCCCCCCAGAGCCACCGCCGCCACCCTTGGCCCCCTTGCCCTTGCCGGTGCGACGCCTCCCACTAGAGGCAGAAGCAGCTCCAGCAGACTCAGCACCAAGGAGGTCAACAGCAGCAGCAGTAGCGAAGGAGGGGGCAAGGGGAGAGGGAGAGCACCCCTCAAAGATGGGGGTGCGAGGAGCGCCACGAGCAGCACCTACAGCGACAATGCTCTTCTCGGCGGCTAGCAGCTGCTCCTCTAGGAGGGCAACAGTGAGCTCAGTGGGACAGCGAGCAAGGAAGTAGTCACGGACTGAGCTGAGGGTGTCAGGGAGCCGAGTGACTATGAAGTGGAGGGTCCAGTACAGTGGAGGGGGGTTCTTAGTACAGAACTCGGTGGGAAGGGCGGCACGAAGGCGAGCATCACTAGTGCGAAGGTGGGTGATGAGATCGGCGACCGTAGTAAAGGTGGACAGCTCAGGGAACAGATAAGGCAGCATAAGGTGGCTAAGCTCGGCTGTGGCAGGGGAGGAGTAGCGAGCGACAACAGCGTCGTACAGGGCCTTAGCGGTTTTGCAGTCACCAAAATGCTCGAGCTCAGCTAACGGCAGATGACTACGAATAGCAAGGCGCGCAGCAGCGTCACGAGTCTGCCACTCGGAACGGACACTAAGCTCGGCTGTGGTAGCAGGAGCAGGCGCAGCACCAGATGCATAGTCATAGAGCGAGATGTGGTCTTTGCTATCGCTCATCAGAAATAACTGTAGGTCATCAAGCCAGGTGGTGAACTGCACAGGGCGGCCCTCAGCATCGAAAGACAGGACGCGAATAGTGGCCATAGCGCAGGCAGGAGGGCAAAGCAGAGCAGTGGCAGCAGGGGAGGGGAGGGAGCGTCACGCAGGATGGGTAGGGCAGCAGGCAGCCGCGGCGGCAAGGCAAGCAGCGTGCTAGGCTGCGGGGCAGCGCGTCAGGCGGCGCGCGGGGCTGCAGGGCAGCGGGTGGGGCTGCGCGCGGGCGAGAAGGGGGAGCCGCGGGGCGCAGCGGGCGGTGCGCGGGGCTCGACGTGTGGCGCGAGGGCCTAACGGGCGGCGCACGGGGCCGAACGGGCGGCGCGCGGGTCTGAAAGGGCTGCGCGCGGGGCGCGCGGGCCTAACGGGCAGTGCGCGGGGCCTAAACGGGCGGCGCGCGCGGCGGTACGGGTGGCGCGAGGGCCGAACGGGTGGCGCACGGGGTCTAACGGGCGGCGCGCAGGTCTTAACGGGCGGCGCGCTAAGGGTAGGGCAGGGCGCACGAGGGCGCTAGTGAGACAGGGCGCACGAGGGCGCTAGTGAGACAGGGCGCACGAGGGCGCTAAGGGTAGGACGCGGGGTAGCGTGATAACCGCAAGCGAGTGGCGGTGGGCCCTAAAAAAACGATCGGAAGGTCCTAGGGACCTCCTGCTCTGAATACCATCTCAGAATAACTAGCCAAGGATGCTTGAATTGAAAGAAACAAGGGTACAAATTGGAAACCCTAGTTGGGGTTGTACCCCATATTGGCTACCCCACTACAGCCTACAATCATATAGCACATTTTTACTTTGACAGGAAGTACCGCTCGCGGCCCTGTCCCCGGACGCGGGCTGGGCCCCACACGTCTAGTTGGAGAGTCTGCAGTGGAGCCTCTGTGGGAGGGAACGAGGAGGAGTGAGGAGCGGCGCGCTGCCGCCCCTCGACGCAAGGAATGCAGGGAGGCGCAGGCGAGGGAGGGAGGGCAGGGAGAGACCTGGGAAGACCAGAGACCAGACAGCGGGAGTGCATGCTACGAAGACGAGGCAGGGAGGGGTGACCAAGGCGGTGGTGCCAAAGGAGAGTGTCGTGGGACAGGCGGCGGCACTCACACTGGGTGGCAACCTGAGCAGACGCGTACAGCTGTGGAGACAAAGGCGTGTAGCGTGAAACAGTGGTGAGGGTGTACAGACTGGACCCCGGCTCACGTGTGAACGTGGCCAGGTGACGGCCGGTCTTGGAGCATGTACAGATCGCCACACGCTGTCCTCTAGGAGTCCAGGTGTCAACCCAGTGATCCTAAAGGACGGCGTTGCTCACCAGGTTCGTAGAGAACGAGGGAACATGGAGACCAGACAGCTCACCAGACGGGACCGCTGGGCACGGAAGCATAGTCGTGGCCCGTGCAAGCACTGGACCCCCAGAGGGGTCAGCCAGTGAGATAGGAACAGGTGCAGGGAGAGGGGTGACAGTGGTGCTGTCGCGAAAGAAACAACGCGAAGCACCAGAGTCAAGTGTGAACGTGTGCAAAGCCTGAGCGGACGCAGTACCAGGGAGAGCAGACTCACTAGCACCTAGGGCTGCAGTCTCTATACCTGGGTCAGGCGGCACACACAAGTAACAGTCACCCTCAGCACTAACAGTCAATGCATACATAGCAGCAAGAATAGCATCATAGTCCAGATCAAAGATAGGAACACCACGCCTAAGCAGATCTGCCCAGTTGGGGAACTCGGTAACATCAGGATACTTTGCGCGCCAGGCGTCACTAGGCCTAGCGAAGCAGCGGAACTCAGTGTGAAAACCGTCACAGGTGCGACCCTGGCGGGGACCTGTGCGAATGACATAGGGGCAGCGGTCAGAGCCCTTAGATGCCCCACGCCCAGCATACCAGTCATTGAGCTGCTGGGAGGTGAGAGGCGGACGCTGCTGCTGCTGCTGCTGTGGCTGCTGCTGCTGCTGCTGCTGGCCGCCACTGGTGCCACTCTGCTGGCCAGATCCACCTCCACCCCCACCCCCACCACCAGTGCCGCTGCCTCCTCCTCCACCACCTCCGCTGCCGCCACCACCGCCCCCGGTCCTGCCACCACCCCACCCACCACCTCCACCCCCACGGCCACCCCCACCACCTCCGCCACCCCCGCCGCCTCCACCACCGCCCCCTCCACCGCCACCTCCGCCACTCCTGCCCCCCTTGCCGCCCTTGCCTCCGCCGCGCTTCCCACCAAGAGCAGAAGCGGCGTTGACCTTCTCAGCACCGAGAAGGTCAACTGCAGTAGCAGCAGAGGCATGGGAGGGGGAAAGAGGGGAGGGGGAGCATCCCTCAAAGAGGGGAGTGCGGGGAGTGCCACGAGCAGCATTCACAACAAGAATGTTCTTCTCAGCTGCAACTAGCTGCTGCTCGAAGTCGTCCAGGGTGATGGTGGGAGGGTCTTTGGCGAGGAAGTAGTCCCTAACGGAACGGAGCGTGTCGGGGAGGCGGGTGACTAGGATGTAGAGGGTAAAATACAGGGGGGGTTTGTTTTCGGCGAGGAACTCTTCAGTGAGAGCGGCACGAAAGCGAGCGTCACTAGCGCGGAGGTGAGAGATGAGGTCTGCAGCAGTGTGAAACGAGGCGAGGTCGGGGAAAAGGTAGGGTAGGATGAGGCTGCCAACGGCGGCAGTGGCTGGGGCGGAATAGCGGGCAACTACTGCGTCAAACAGTTCCTTAACAGTCTTAAGCTGGTTGAAGTGTGCGCGCTCAGAGATAGGCAGGTGGTTGCGAATAGCTAGGCATGCAAGGGCATCGCGGGTCTGCCATTCAGCGCGATCAGAGGCAGGAGCAGTAGCAGCGGGAGCAGGGGCAGTGCCATTGACATAGTCTAGCAGAAAAGCTCCGTCCTTGGCATTAGTCAAAAGGTAGAGCTGCAGGTCACTAAGCCAGGTGTCAAACTGAACAGGACTGCCGTCAGGCTCAAAGGCGAGAACAGTAATAGTCGCCATGGTCACAGGGCGGGGAAATGCAGCAGGCATAGTCTAAGGCTCAGGCTCAGGCGCAGGAGGCAGGCAGGCTCAGGCAGGGCAGGGCGGGCGGCGCACAAGCGGGGCGAGCGTGGCGGCTGCTCGTACGCGGCGGTTGGGTGTGGCGGCAGGCTGCGCGCGCGGCAGCGGGCTGCGTGCGGCAGAGGGTGCGCGGCGGCGGGCTGCGTGGCAACGGGCGGCGCACGGGCAGCGGGCTGCGTGCGGCAAAGGGTGCACGGCGGCGGGCTGCGCAGCGACGGGCGGCGCACGGGCAGGGCACGCGCGGCTGCGGGCTGCGCGTGGCGAGGCTGCGGCGGCGGGCGAACAGGCGGCGCAGGCGGGGCGCGCGGCGCGCACGGCAGCAGCGGGCTGCGGGCTGCTTTCGCGGGGCGCGCGCTAAAAAAAAAAAGACGCGCGCGCCTTCGAGGCGCACGCAGGCAGCAGGCTAGGCAGGCAAGGCAAGGCAGGCAAGGCTGTAGGTGAGGTAACGCAGTAACCGGTGGGCCCGAACTTAGGTCCTAAGACCTACTGCTCTAGATACCATCTTAGAATCTAGGCAAAGGAATGGTTCGATTGAATCAAAGAAGGGTACAAGTATAACCCTAACTTTTGGGTTGCACCCCATAAGGGCTACCCCACTACAGCCTAGACAACACTAACACATATATATACTTTGACAGCGTGCGCAACTGATTTCGCCGGCCTTCGGGTCTTTGTGTCATAATGTGATGTTTGTCTAGCCTTCAGTGGGGTACTCTATAGCGAGTACAGCCCGAATTAGGGTTTGCTATATGTACTCAACTGCCTGCTAGTGAAAACCTCTCTTTCCTGTTTCTCGTTTCTGCCTGCTGTTTTAACATGCTATCAGAGCAGGTCGACCCTCCTGGGTCGATCCTGTGGGTGGTCCCGCCCAATGCTTCCGCTGCTGTCCTGTCTATCGCACGCCCTGGGCGCGCGATGTTTGCTGTCTGCCGCGCGCTCAGGGCACGCAGCGCGCCTGCCCCGTTGACGGTCGCGTCGCCCCCCGGGACCCTGTCGCGACGCCCTGGGGACCGCGCGCGCCCCCCTCAGCCTCGTCGCGACGCCCTGGGGAGCCGCGCGCGGCCCCCGCTACTTCGTCGCGACGCCCTGGGGAGCCGCCCGCGGCCCCCCGCTGCCTCGTCGCGATGCCCTGGGGAGCCGCGCGCGGCCCCCGCTGCTTCGTCGCGACGCCGTGGGGAGCCGCTCGCGGCCCCACACTGCCACGTTGCGGCGCCCTGGGGAGCCGCGCGTGGCCCCCCGCTCCCCTGTCGCGGCGCCCTGGGGAGCCCCCCACCCCCCCCCCCGAGCTGCTGCCCGCGCTGCTGCCCGTGTTAGGGTTTGCGGGTGGCGAGTGTGGGGGTGGCGTGTGAGCAGTGCTAGAGGTACAGCAGGGAGTGTGTGAAAGGGGTGTGGGACAGTTGGGGGAGGTTGACCGGAGGTCGCCGTTGTGACGCCAGCAGGGCCAGTAGTCCGGGGGTTGAGTACTCCGGTAGCCCAGCGAGCCTGCTGCTGCCAGTCGCCCGTGGGTCTGTTGCTCCTGCAGCTTAGTGCGGAGCCAGTTACTCCTGTAGTCCGGAGGTTGAGTGCTCCGGTAGCCACCGTGCGCGCCGTTCCTGTTGCCCGTGTGTCTGCGGCTTCACCCGTCACCTTCTATCTCCACTCCTCAGACAGTCTCTCCTCCTCCTCACTTGCCCTCTGTGACTGCCTCTAGCTTAGCTTGTATTTGTGAACCTGCTCTATGACTGTTTGCTGTGTTGATTGTACCCCACTTTGACTATGGGGGTGTGTCAGAATGTGATGTTTGTCTAGCCTGCAGTGGGGTACTCTATAGCGAGTACAGCCCAAATTAGGGTTTGCTATATGTACTCAACTGCCTGCTAGTGAAAACCTCTCTTTCCTGTTTCTCGTTTCTGCCTGCTGTTTTAACACTTTGCGCCAGATGTCCACCACGTCTGGCCAAACGTATGGGTACTTCAGCATGTGCAGCGTCATGAGGTCGCCAAGGCGTGCATCGCAAAGCGATGTGTGCATCCAGCTCTTGATGATGTTCTGGCGACTGAACCCTCTCTCACACTCCACTGTGCTCAGAGGCAGCACAGCGAGGGCCTGCCAGAGTGTCATCAGGTTCGGATAGCTGCGTCGCCAATCCCGGCTCTTCAACATGCTTTGAAAGCCCTAGTGGAAATCCTCCCCCGCGTGATGGCGTGACATGATGTGACAAAAGCTCCTCAGCTCCTTGTTCGCCCCCTTGAAATCAAATCCTGACGGGGGTTTGGGGCGGTGGAAGTAGTTGGTGGTGGTTGTCCGATAGTGGGGTGTAGGGGAACATGCATGGAACAAATCGAATCAAACCGCACGTGACAAATCTAACCTCACCTGGAAGCATGCTGCCAAACAGCTCATCGTTTGCCGCCAGCTACTCGAGGGTCTTCAAATCACACTGGTCCTCTCTGGAAGGCCACGATTCAACTTGAAACAGCTTCGCACTGCCCAACTGCTGCAAGTCCCACATGCGGTACTTCATTCGTGCGACAATCTCCTTTGCGAAACCCGTGCACAGCTTCTCGCAATCAGCAAGCGTGCCCCCAAACTTGTGCTTCTTGATTGGGGTCTCGCTCAGCTCGAACTTGTGTGATGTCTGCCGCCCCTCCGCGTCAATCCCTTCAACCACCACCGTCCGGTTGTCACCTCCGTGCTCCTTGATGAACTTGGACAGGAGCTTGCTGACCCCGCCTCCAAAATTTTCACCATACTGGATGTACCGGTGCGTGATGATGGTGATCGTGTGGTCGAATTTTTTGGCCACTAGTGTGATGTCCACCTGTAACACACCGGGCACGTCACACAGGTCAGGCGATGTAACTTTTAGCATTAGCAAACTTAGGCACGCTTAAAAACACACTTGCCTTGCGGTGCTGGAAGAAGCGGTTGAGCGAGTTTAGCACCGCAAGAATGTCTGCGAGGAAGTACAAACCGAAGTGAAATTTAAACGTTTGTACTGTTGCAGCAATCTTGTGCCCGTACTCCACAATCATGACGATAGCCGCCCCGAGAACTCTGCATAGCCGCGCTATAGCGTCTCCCCGCAATAGCCATCTGACGTGGAATAGTCCTTGGTGTTCAAGGTTTGTACGATGCATCTCTTGTTGTAGCTCTTTGAACCTCTCGTACCAAATGTTGGAACGGCAGATAATCTCGCCCACAGCACGCACAGCAGCATCGATCATGTTCAGGTCGGGGAATGCTTTCGCAGCATCCTTGACCACCAGCGCCTCACTGCAGCACACAAAGAAGATAGTTCAGTAAGAGTGATAAGATGGTTTAGCTACATCGTGTGCCCTTAAATTCAAATACATAAAAGCAACGCTTACCGATGCACTACGCAGTGGCATCCGACGAGATGCGGCACTCGCTCTTGCAAGCGGCAAACAACGCCGCTCTTCTCCCCCGTCATCACAGAAGCACCGTCGGTGCCGATGTCGGACACCCGCTTGATGTCCACGCCGATCGACTCCAGGTGGCTCGTGAGCACGGTGAAAAGCGAGGACGCGTCGCACTTGTGCACCGTCCGCAGCGCCAGAAATTCCGTGACGGAGATGCCGTGCTTGAGGAACGTGGCAAGCACAATCAAGTGTTTGCCACGAGCGCGATCGGTGCTCTCGTCGCAGGTAAGGCCTGTGAATGGTGAAGCGAGAAGATGGTGCACCTGTTGTGTTTTCTGATACTTAGCCATCGCCGACGCCATTTCGTTGAAACCGTACCTGCCACAAGCCGAGGGTAAGGTTTTACATTTGAGGGACTCGTAAGAACATAGGATGCGGCCCACGCATTTAAAACAAACAACAGGCATACACTTACTGTGTGATGTACACGCCATAGGACTGAAGCGGGATGTCGCCGACTCCCTCCTTTGCGAGTTAGCATATGAGCTTCGGGAACATCGCGATCGGTGCGTCATGGTCGCAGATAAACTCCACGCCGCGCATGAGACGAGTAAGCCGCGCGCCCTCCTTATCGGTGTTGACGAAATCGTCGATCCGCTTCTGTTTCTCTATCTCCGCCATGAGCGTCCGCTGCCTTTTCATGGCTTCGTCGTGGCGGCCGCTCAGCTCGTGAAAGCGCATCAATCCGAGCTGCAGATCGCGTCCCCCCGTTCCGTTCCGTCCGAACTTCGCGTCGTCCTTTCCATGCTCCACGCAAATGCTGCATCGCAGAATGGGCAGGCCCTCCTCGTTCTTGTCAAGCAGTAGCCCGTCAAACTTCGGCAGCCACTGCGTGATGTATAGCTGCTGCGCCTTCAGAAATTTCTCCTCAGCCTTCTCGGCGGCGGTGAGTTCACGGGACACACGCTTGGGAGCTTGGACAGGAGCGGAAGTCGGAGTCGGTTTCGCAGGGGGCGTGCCGTACGGTAGAACGGCTTGCGCGAAGCGACGCCTCTTCTTCGAGGCTGCAGATGATGACTCGCCGACCTCTGTCACGCCTACAGGCGGAGGGTTCGCGTGCAGCGCTCGCAGGAAATCCAGGCCTGTCCGCGCGGGCGCATCGTTCGGTGGCTCATCAGCAGCTTCACCGTCGTCGTCCTCAGCAGGAGCCATGGCTCCTCGTGTGTATCAGAAGAAATGCAAGGAACGCGTGAGTTTTCTGGTCTTGCAAGGTGAAACCTCAAACGTGTTAATGCCCCCAGTCCTTTCGCGCCTCTATTTCCTAACGTGCACGCAAACGAACTGCAAAGCCAGCCACAGTCGTGCAAGGAACGCGGTGCCCAGTGGGCTAGTGGGCACCGACTTTCTGCTGCAGTCAGCCAAGTTTCCTGCTAGCCCGGCCTTGTTGTCATGTCAGACAAACAGACCGAGTTGCGTCGGTGGCGCCGCTTACAAAGACACCGTAATCCTGGCCAATGGTGGCCCACTGTGTGCCAGCACATGAGTTGTCAAGGCCGAAATTCCGGCTTCTACAGTTGCCTTTTGGGAATCCCAGGTTACGAGAAAGGGGGGGTGGGTGTACTGGGGGGCGCGGGGGGGGGGGGGGGGGGGGGGGGGGGGGGGGGGGGGTAGGGTACTCGTTGAAGAGTAAAACTCCTTACGGGATTCGGGAATCGGGAACCCTTGGGCATCAGTGTGCCTCACACAAAAATTCTGGCACATCAGGGTAAACCTAACTCCCTTAAAAAAAAACCCTAGGCCGTCAGTGTGACTACCAAAAACCACCCTGATTATCAGGGTATCAGGGTGATTTACACTGATAAAATTTGCCATGTTTGGGACTACTACTTACTGGTAGTCAGAATTGTCAGCAGGCATCAGCAATGGTACAGGTGGTGTGGAGTTGCACTATAAGAACAAATTCAGAGAGTCTAGCTTCACCACCTGTGCAACTAACACAGAACAACACACGCGCTGCACTTCCCAGGAAACATACTCCTCTATTACTCCCCTCCCCCTGCTCCCCTCCCCTGCTACTCTCGCTGCCGCCTAGTGAATGGTAATAAATGTAGTTTTCAGCCACCATCTCAACGTGTGCTACACCTGCTCTGATGGATGCACCACACATACTCCCCCTTCTAATGGATGCACTCGCAGCTGATACGCTATGCCTACGTTCTCAATGCACCACACATACTCCCCCTTCTAATGGATGCACTCGCAGCTGATATGCTATGCCTACTGAGTGAAGAACATGGTTTCCATCCAGCCCACCAGGAACCACTGCACGATACAGACCTGTAAGACACCTGCACGGCTCGAATCCCTGCTACCCACTGCTGTTCTTATCCTTCTGGTAGACACACTCCTAGCTGATACGCCCACTGAGTGAAGAACATGGTTTGCAGCCCATCAGGCGCAACTGACCCAAACCAAAACAAGACCTGCATGCCTCTTATCCATGATAAATGCTGCTGGCCCCTGCTTCATGCTCCCCTGTTCCATTGCCACACCCCTAGCTGATAAGGCTACTGAGTAAAGAACGTCGTTCCTAGACCGCCAGGAGCCACTGACCCGAACCCATATGACACCTGCACCCCTCCCGTGCCTGCTGCGCCCCCAGCAGCACCCGCCCCAGATGCAGCCGCCCCCAAAGAAGACACATACTGCTGCGCTGCCGCCGCTGCTGCTGCAGCCTGGTTTTGCTGCCCTGGCGACTGTCCCCCTGCTGCCGCCCCCCCTGCCGCACCTGTCGCTGCGGTCGGGAACCCCATTCCTTGAAGCCCGGCCGAACCAAAGGCGGAGGCTGGGAGACCGCCAGGGAAGGCGTAGGGGGAGAAGGCGAGGGGGTTTTGGAGGGCCACGCCTGTGAGTGCTGCTGCGAGTTGCTGCTGCTGCTGCAGTTGGGCCTGCGCTTGAGCAAACGCGTTCTTCTCCTTGGTGCCGTCAAGGGCGTATTTCACCTGCACCTTGCGACCCTGAGAAGGGGGTGGAAGAATTACAGGAATGAAATGCACAAGGGGAAAGGAATTGGGGTGCCTCTGCTCAAGCCGAGATGGAGCCTGTGCTTTGGCCAAGCGCGTTATTCGCTGGTGTCCCTTGAGGCGACACAGATATTGACTTAAGACCTTAAGGTGATCAATGAAAGGAAGCATATCAAGCAGGTAGCACAGCTGTCCATACTCACATCAATAAACTTTGTCGGCTCTACAAGAGCCTTCCTTGCATCATCTGCTGATCGGTATGTCACAAAGCCGAAGCCCCTGACAAGAGGAAAGGGAAAAAAGTATAAGTACAAAATGTACACGCACACACAATGAGGGAGAATGGAAATGAGATCAACGCAAACAAGATGTGTGTGCATCCATCCCCATTCCCACGCACGCTCCCTTTGACTTGAGAGGGATGGTTCATTTGACAGCATGCCCCTTCTCATCTCTTTTTCACCCCGTGCGGTTCATCTTGTTTCAACATCCCTCCCACGCAGTCTCACCTGGACTTGTGCGTCTCGCGGTCGAACGCCACGGCGCCCTCCTCAATCTCGCCGTACTGCGAGAAGTAGTCCTTGAACGTCTCGTTCGTCGTGTCGAAGTGCAGCCCCCACACGTACAGCTTCCGATACACCAGATCCGCGCCGCTAGAGTAACTCGGCCGGTACTGGTACCCGCTGTCGCCGCCACCGTGAGAGGAGGCGGCGGCGACGGAGGTGGCCGTTGGGTGGGACGTGGGGCCTGCTGCTGCGAGGTTGCACATGGCAGCACGGCCCTGTGTGGATTGGGAGGGAGATGGGGAAGGTAGTGAAAGCGAGTGAAGGTCAGGTTATGATAGGTCAAACGGCAGCCCGAGTTGGGTGGGACGTGGGGCCTGCTGCTGCGAGGTTGCACATGGCAGCAGGCCCTGTGCGGAGAGGGAGGAAGGGCAGGGAGAAATGGGAATGGAAACGGGATGGGGAGAGGATACGGCAGTGTCTTCAACTGAAGGGACTGAAAGGTACGAAGAGTGAAATACCGGGGAACAATGCGAGGGCGCGAGCGAGAGGGTGTGACATGATCTTCGTGAATCTATGCCTAACCTTCTCAAAAGATAAGAACTTCAAAACGCTTTACATACAGGAGAGTCTACATTTGCTGTACGTAGCGCAGCTGCACTCACGTCGATCATTTTAGTGGGTTCGCGGAGAGCTCTATAAGCGGACTCGGACGACTTGAAGGTAACGAAGCCGAAGCCCCTCGACCGGCCGGTCGTCCGATCCGTGATCACGGCGCCCTCCTCGATCTCGCCGTACTGCTCAAAGGCCTGGCGAAGAAGACAGGAGAAGCGGAGACATGCCAGAACGAGTGAAGACGTAAATGCCATAGTCGGGAGTCTTTCCAAGAGTCACCGGCCATCGAATCTATGGACGCTGAAGGAACTTCTCGTCGCTATTCTTACTATCATCAGCTATTTCATTTGATTTCTAGCCAGCATTAACCGTAATCTCTGGTCCCATTCGTGATGACGGGTCGCTCTTTGATCTCTCCAGACGCTTCAAAGGCCTGCTGGGAGACGTACACGGGAAGAAAGCAGCGCAAAGGCGGCAAACACGCCATTCCCCGCTCAAAATAGGGCAATCATGACAAACCCCACACAAAGAAAGCGCAACCGTGACGAACCCCGCAAGGAAAGGAAAAGTAGATTAACCGCACTCGCGCTGACAGCTCTAGCCGCCACCCAGGTCCAAAAGGCCAGGAGTTAGTTACGCCAAAAGTTTTGCGCTTACAGCAAGCAACGTCTCTGAGGAAGTCTCCCATGCCAAACCCCGCACAAAAAGCTTCCGATTCGCGACGTTCGTGCTGGCAATCGCCATCACTTGCTCTGCGACGGCTTCGTGCTTCAGAGCTCTGTCGTCGTCATTCGTCAGAAAACGTTACGACGACGTCACCACGATGTCACCATCGCCAATCATCACCGTCACAATATAATCATCCAAGTATAATCATCCCCACCGAGAGAAGAAATCGAGTCGCCCAACGAAAAAAAGGATCACACAAACCGATGATTGTCCAGAAGCCGGCCAGACGCACACACCAGGGACCGTCAACCACACGTGGCACGCAAACGATATCAATGAAGCCATCGCCATGGCGCCATCGCATCAGATCATCGTCATCCAATCATCGCCATCCGTAATAGCCATCCAGTCAACGCCATCCAATCACCGCCGTCCGATCATCGTCATCCAATCATGGCCATCCAAGCACCGCCAATCGATCATTGCCATCCAAGGGTTGTCATCCAAGCATTCATCCGAAACCATCCGCAGTCCGCGTCCCGCGTAAGTCGCCACATGCACCATCACAGCCAGATCAATACAGACACAAGCACAAGCACACACAACCACCATGTAAGCACATACACATCACCATGTCGCAAGCACATGCATGGACATATGCTATTCATTCAGAATCCAATCATCAACGACGATCAATGCATGCAGCTTCAGTAACTCCAGAACAACAAACTGCTTCACACGGCATAATTTTAAGTACTTTTTCAATGTCCAAGTTCAGGCAGGAAATTGCGCGAATGCATCCTATTCTCAAGCAACGATCTTGAAAACAAGGACATAAAGCAAATGAAACTCACGCGTCGAGGAGGAGAGAAACAAGATCTTCCTTCGACAGCATTTCCAGCATCTTCCTCATCTCCATCTCGTTGAGAACAAAATCGGAAGCCCCGGAGCCGTTGTCAACGCGCCTCTTCTTATCGCTTTGATCCATAAACGTAAGCAGCGCGCTCGATGAAACTCGAGCGGAAAGTATGGAACTTCTTCCAGACGGACAAAAGGAAGACTTTGAATGCACAAGATCCAAGAACAGAAAGACAGGCTTTGTGATTCCCTACACAAAACGGAGGAAGCAAGTAAGATTGAAGTTCACTTCAGGAAACTAGGGTTTCAGCAGTAGCTTGTAGGTAGGGACGGACAGGTGTGGGGTAGGAGGGGGAAGAAACTTGGGGAAAGTGTAAGTACAGTAAATTATTCCACTACGATGATAAGGATCTGTTAACAAGTAACGAGACCTGCCAGAATGGCATCGTCAGTCTCTGAAAATCCAGCCGACAGTTTCGAGGACAGCCGTTTCGCGCCAACAGGCTGGAAGAAGAACACAAGTCCAAGCTGTTCTTTCCCGGTGCCGAGTTGTGGGCCAAAGACCAGCCACCGCTGCTCAGCTCCACATCCCACGGATCTGGTTGGGCCGATCACCCACCAGCCAGCTCCCGTGTTGCATGCTTGTAACGAATACATCTCGAGGCGACTGTCCATCTGCATGCCATACAGCTGATGCCCACCCCATGCACACGAATTTGCTCTGCACCGGATGGAAACGCTGCACCCGAGGTCTTTTCCCCAGCCTGTTGCACCCACGTTACAAGCGCGTCGCGTGGTTATGAACCAATAGTAACGAACAGACCGAAGTCAACCTGAAGAGACTGAAGTCAAAATGTCAACAAATGTGGTTACAGATCCTTTATATAAGCACCTGCGAGTCCTTTTTAGCTAGCTGCGAATTCACGACACTTATGCGAAATGCTCGATACAGCTTATACGCCCCCTTCACAAGGCAACCGGGAGGGGCTCAATCAGGCATCAGGTGTACCCTCCAGCGAGCTTTACACCTGGGCTCCGGTAATTTCAGAATGTGGGCACCGAGCCGCGTCCTTGTCGTTTTGCCCTGGGGTTGAAATTGGGGGGAACAAAAAAGTTCCCTCTAATTTCAACACTCTCACGAAAGATTTCGGGGTTTCGGACTCTTCTGAACGGAGCGAAATCGGTTTTATTCGGTTAAAGGTATCGGAGGGTTGTTGGGAGGACCGAACCGCTCTCAACCAGGAGCCACAGATGACGACAGGGGCCTTGCAATTAGGGGGAATGAAATTATTGGAGCCCAGGTGTACCCCCTCGTTGTTACAGCACTATTCGTACACCTCGAGAGACTGTGTTCCAGCTCAGCTCGTCAACGCCCATCTTGCTCACCTGCGCTCCCATTTCCCGTCCGATTATCCGTTTGCACTGCCAAATCAGTACGCAGAACGTCTCGGTTTTGTGCAGAACCGACGGTATCTGGCAAACATTAAAGCTTTTGTATACATTTGAAAGAGGGAGGTTCAAAACTTTTGAAATTTGAAATATTGGTAACCCTATTACAGCTAGTTCACTCGCTGAACAAGGGAGGGAGATCTCCCCGACACCCAGCACTCGCTGGTGATTCAAAACTTTTGGATCGGCAAAAATAAACGAAATCCCGCCCATGTGAGATCTACGCCACTACGCTCTACTGGCAGCAAAATAAGTAGCTAAGCGCATCGCGACTCAACAGCCAGCGCAAATTACCTTCGTTTCCGACACAAACCTTAACGCGTGGGGCAGTTTCTTGTAATTATAGGGATAAACCAAGAAGGGTTCCGCCCTCTCACGCGGCGATCCCGCGGGACCTCCTCTCACGGCCTCACCTCGTTGTCCGTCGTGTTGCCTCACGACGGTGCCTCCTCACGCCACCGTGAACGCGCACGACTCGTCTCAAACTGCCGAACACGCACGATCACAGTCGCGGCCCGATCGCGACTGCATCGCTACCACGTTTCCGCACTAGCCCCGGCAGCCTCACTAGAGTGCACGAACGGCTGCTCCTGTAACACCAGAGCCGCCTAGGTCCACCGTTAATGACTCCGCCGCTGTAGTGACACCTACCCCTACTGATTCTCCCACTCCTGTCGCGTTCACACTCCCGCCGGCTGTTGCTGGCTGCAGCAAAGACCCTCCACCGCCCGCGCCCAGTCCCACTCCAAGCACGGTGCGGGTCTCCCTAGGCCCGCCGTCGGCTACGTCCACTCCCAAGCGGGCGCGATCCGGGAAGTGGTCGCAGAGTACTCTGGTGGTGGGGGGCCGCCGTATTCCACCGCCTGAAAAGCCTGTTGAGCCTCCACCGAAAGAAGCTGAGCTGCCGGAAGGTGACATCCCCGTGCGCGCTGATTCCGGCTCACCCGCACTCACGAAGGCGCAGATGCGCGAGCAGATGTACTTGGAGGCGAGTATTATTTACGAGACGAAGTGGTCGGGGTACTTCTCGTGGCTCGTGTTTGGGAAAACCAAGGACGGTTTCCCCTACGTGAAGTGCAGCATCTGCATGTCCTACGGTAAGGGGAACACCAGGTACGCGATGCCAGGAGACGACGGCGGCCGTGACTTGCAGGCTTAGTCGTTCCGCACGCACGAGCATACTGATGAGGATTGCGGCAGGAATCAACGAAGGGCAGCAGGTGATTTCGGACTTCATCAACTCCGACGTGGAGGGCCGCCGCGCGATACGACTGATGCGGTCAACTCAGTTCCTGTGCCAGTGCGACGCGCCGATTAGCATGTTTCCTAAGCTGATGCGGCATCTTGCGGAGCAGGACACGCCTGACATTCCCCGGCAGTCGTACGGCGTTTATCTCACACGGTAATTGACGCTTCAAGTTGTTGCAGTGTCTACTATATATGTTGCACTCGTGATTGACGGTCTGCTGATCACTTCTCTCGTCTTGTTGCAGCTACGGCTTCTAGCAGATGGTGCACAGCATCAGCACATACCTCACGCGGGTGCAGATGGACCACATCCTGGCATCACCGTTCCTGGGCATCCAATGCGACGAAAGCACTGACCGCACGCGAGGGAAACACATGATTGTGTACCTTACTTTCCTGAAGAACCGCCAAGTCGCATGCGAGTTTTTCACTTTGCTGACGGTCGAGCGGTGTGATGCAGGGTCTCATTTTGAGGTGCTCATGAACCATCTCCGCTCCGCTGCCGTGGATGTCTCCAAGATCGTCGGCATCAGCACGGACGGGGCGTCGGTGATGACCGGGAGAGAGAACGGCCTGGTGGCGCGTCTTCGGGAACACGTCCCGCATCTGTTTTCCTGTCACTGCATCGCCCATCAGTATGTGAGTTGGTCCCGGCTGCCAATTGGTTTCGTAGAGAGTTTGATTTATTAACTAACATTGCTTTGTGTTCCCTGCTCGCCACAGTGAGGCGTTGGCTGTGAAGGACGCCGCGGAGTCGAAACCGGATCTCGGCATGGTCGACAAGGTGGTGCACACCGTGGCGACGCTGCTCGGAAACTCCAGCGTGTGGAGTCAGCGGTTCAAGTACCTGCAGCGTGTGATTTACAAGACCAACCTCGAAGTCCAAAGGATCCACACGGTGCGGTGGCTGTCTCGCGATGATGCGGTGGGGAGGCTATGCAAGGTTCTCGGCGCATGCATAGTCCTCCTTTGGGAGCACAATCACAAGGCATACGAGATCGTTACCTGCTACAAGTTCCAGTTCTGCCTGTTCTTCTTGGCCGACATCTTGGCGGACATGAACGACCTCAACCGCTGCTTCCAGCGAAGAGAGGTAAAGTCGCATGTGTGGCTGTTTGTTGCAACGTTATGTTTCTTACCACATAGTTGCTCATAACACTCCCTGTTGCTTACCCCGTCTCCTCCGACAGCTGGAAGTGACAGAGATTGCGAAGACGATCGAGTCAACCACGGGTGACCTGACGGAGCGCTACTTGACGCCTGAGAAGGCTTTCGGGGGAGAAGGGAAGAGCTGGCTGGTGAACTTCCTCAAAGTCCACAAGGAGGGTGGAGGTAAGCAGGTCCGGGTGCGAGGCGTGGACGGTGCTGGACAGCCTATCAACCACCTCTACACCATGCATGAGAGGAAGCTGAAGGGCCACAAGCAGGGGCGAGCACTTGCGCAGACTGCGTGAAGCTGTGCCGGAAGTTCGCCAAGGACTGCGTGGACAACCTGAACGAACGGCTAGATGACCTTGGGA